GAACAAAATGTATGAAAGTGTTGTGCAAAATTCACGAAAATATTGTCGAGATGAACCCTTGGTTACCATCGCCAAAGGGAAAAGAAACGAGCAGCGAATGTTACAATGTATTTCAAGGAATATGCTGATAGAATAAGGGGCTGAGGAAGAGCATTGAACATCAGTAATAAATCATCAATGCGATGTTTGCAGTTACAAGCCCGGCCATCTAATGTTCACGCTGATAATGTGATGTAGATTTATTCTATCTTCACCTCGCATGTTCTGGTTTAAATTCAAAGAGAATTTTATTTGTTGGTCAACAATAGGCGTTAGGGTACAAGTATGTTTTCGAGGGATCGAATACATTTCAACCGACCAGAATTCAGCGTAGAAGCAAAGTAACTAAAACCTTTATACACTTCATAACTTCAATAGACATTCGTGGACACGTTTTCGCTCAATAAAGCAGAACGATGACAAACTTTTTTTAAGAGGTCCGATTCTCGCAATCCCGCTGTCTACCGCGGGTAACTCTCGTGACCAGCCCTCTGATACTAGCACGTTGAGGGCGGCACTACCTGCCGGTGGCTTGCAAGGCCTTTTTAGTTCGGACAAAGTCCGCATTTTCTTTTTAATTGCGCTGTCCGCAAAAATTTACAATGTCGGTCCTTTCGTATTAAATTTTAAAAAGCGCAAATAAATGAAAATTTAATTTTTGCACCGGAACCTACAAATTTACTCGTAAATATACTCGATACTATATAGTAAAATTGAAGACAGTTAGTGTAGCCAGAGGGTTAAATTGAGTAATAAAATAAAATTGATATCCGTGGCCAATGCAAACCATAAAGAACTCATGTTTATTGAAAATGTAGTTATTAGACACAAACATTGTTAGAAAAAAATTAAATTTAAACTACACCCAAGATTTAATTGCGATTTTAAAGTCTGTTTTTTTTATTCCACTCGAATGAACACCAAAATACATGATAAATACTGGGAGCAACCGGCAAAATTTATTTTTTCCCCTTTATTCGTAACTAATTTTCATGAAGCTAATATTAATATAATAAATACAAATAGAATTATAGCATAAGTAGAAACAATAGAGAAACTTTTAATTTATCATCACCTTGCACGTAGACCATTGAGTAGTGACAAATCAAAGTTAAAAATATGGCACCTATGAGACTAGAATTTATCTCAATTACACTCCTGGTTAGATTTAAATACAGGTATATTGTCTCCATAATTACGAGTATTTTTACCATAATGAATAGTATTGTCAATGATAATTGAGTTGTAGCCACCGTTTCTACTAATATTGTGTTCATTAAGATATTATTAACAGCTTACCGCATAAAATTGCTTGCATCGCTCACAGTTTTGCCTAATTACGAATATTGTCACCACAACGGAGGTCTTGCCTACCTTATCAACAGAAATTCGACATAATCGACTTTAAAGTCATCATAATCATCAAATGTCTCACTGTGATCATCAGTTGTGTCATCATAGTCAACACTCAACAGTTGTGTCATCATAGTCAACATAATACGACTCATTCATTTGTCTGAGTGCGGACCACAAGAATTAAAGCTAATGCGAATTAGTGAACGCATAGCATAGTAGATATTGAGTGTAATATAATTATTGGAAAAAGAGAGCAATTTCTTAGGAAAAGTACCCAGACTCCCACTAATAACCTATAAATATTGGATGCAAATTCCAGAATGAAAAATATTGAATTGAAATAATATTGAATTTTAAAAATGTTACAAGATTTGTTTCATCCTTATGATACAATAACAAACGACTTCTAGACAGGTAATTTAACAACTAATTAGCAGAATAGAAATATAGTCAGTGATTTTAGGTGTGGAAATACTACCTATATATACATTGCCGATTAGTGTCTACAAAAATGCATAATTCTATTATTTATGAAGATCACTTGGAGAAGAATGGAAAACACGAGAAGCTTAAAGCTTGTCCAGAAAGTAGCGGCAAGACACAGGCATTATTTTGCTTTATAATCATCATGATTTTTGTCTGAGATGAGTATGCACGTTCGCTGCCAGCCAGGGGCCGTACGTACTATCAAAAATAGTTCAGAGATTTCGAGATCATAACTCCGACGGCATTTCAAAACCCACCAATCACAGACGAGAAGAAATTGTACTTAAATACACTCAAGTACACATAGATATAGTACCTACGTACACATAAGTACACGTAGATACTGTACCTATGTACACTCAAGTACACGTAGATACTGTACTTAAGTACACTTAAGTACACGTGGTAAGCTTTCGTAGTACGGCCCCAGGGCTTCAGTTGCGACAACATTTCAATTATTTTAGCAAGGTGAAGGTATAGCGTATCATGTAGCAGCCTGTTATTAGATTCGTACTCACAACTTTCGTTTTTTTTTTATTTTGGATGTGTGCTCTACAACGCTCTTTAAGATCGCGAATGCCGCATATTCTTCCTGGACAAACCGACGATTTTTTAATACAACCATTGAGCAGGGATATTATAGAGCCAGAACATCAACAGGTTCCTAACCCACCAAATAAGAGGAGTTGCTCCTACCTCTACGTTTAGATCAGCACGTTCATCTGCCATACAAACATTTTATTACATGCCTGCAATCAAATCCTCGAAACTTTAAGCTAACTTAGCCGTACTGCGTGACCGAGGAAAACCGGATTTCTTACACAATATTCGCTTATTAAAATTTCTCTGTGGAAAGTTTATATTTTTTGGTGAATCAGCACCAGATATTTTTCGCAAATTGGAATCATATACCGCGTAAACCAATATCCCAGGCAATTAAAGTAACATATTCGTAATTAAAATAAGATCAAAAATGATCTCAAATGTCACAGGGCGAGGTTAGCGATAAGTCTGAAGCTAAAAACAAAGCAATGAATCTCAATATTATGATAATTTAAGACAATGTGAATAGGAAAACTTTGCAAATATTATTCCTAAGAGTTGATTTTGATATTTTTTTAATGCGAACCTTGCTTAACGAATAAGTTCTAATCATTCTAGTGCACTCAGTATGAGGTGCACAGCTTATATGCAGAACAGGAGGCTTGAACCGCGATAAGTAAAAACAACTTATAGGAGTATATTTTATAAACGGGAAAGAAACTGAATAAACAAAATAAAACTGTAGTAAATAACGTTAGATTTAAAGCGGAAGACCTTAGATCGCAGGTATCAAATAATTGTAGAATATTTCTAAAGACATGAACACAGCACTGCTACGGGAACGGCTTCAACAGAAAGTAATGCATTCGTCATATATACGACTGACGGTTAAATTCTTCATACGAAGCAAAACGACCGGAAAATATTCATACTTGGAAGCTTCATGTCCAGTGTTCTTGCTACACGCTTAGGTAAATTTTTATTTCAAGATTGCCTAAAATTCAGGCCATATATACTAGACCGAAAATTTAGCATATTTCATTGGGAGTTCCACGGTCACGAGTCGTACACACATGATATAGTATGCAGACATGAAAGACAGTAAAAATTGTACAGATACAAGATAGGTCTAAGTTGAAGAGCTGAAGGGTTAAGATGCAAGAGTAAGATGCAAAAGTACAATACAACGGGTAAGGATCCATTACTTTAGATCCAAAAAAAAAGTATTCAATCGCACAGGTAAAATATTAATTATCAAAAAATAAAATAAGATATAACACGTAAACTGTAAAGTATTCGTTCTCACAAACACCTAACCTAACCTTCGATACCAAGCAGACAATGATCGATTAATTATTTTAGATTAATTTTCAATGATTAATTTTAATGTAAACTCACGATTTCAGTCACGAATGACGCTTACGTTCATCGCAGATATACCGGCAACGTGGATCTATAAAGAATCTAGTCCTTTTTTTAATCTTACCCTAATTTACTGAAATTCGTTTCAATACAAAATAATAACAGCGGTTCCTAAATAATATTTGTTTCACACAAAAAGGAATAAAATTGTTTTACACATGTAGGAAGTTGTCGGCGCATGCGCAGAATGACCAGCTTCGAGTTAAGGTAATAATTAAAATAAATAAATAGCTGACTTTGCTACCAGAAACGAAAAAGACTTTGGCGAAGCTAAATATCATATAGCGAATGAATACTTGCATCAACCATATCGTATAAAGCTGAGAGTTATTATCCATATTATTATTAGGTTAAAAATAACTCAAATAATTACGGTAACTGTTAATCACTGAAATGAAGTTACAGACACGAAATTCTGGTAGTAAAATCATATGAAGAGCAGCAGTCAGCGGAGATATTACGCGTACACCGTAGCCGGTTATGTACAACTGTACATTTTTATTGAAAAGCGTACAAATAAGCGCATCTTTACAGCGGTTGTAACGTCAGTTACGAATAAACGGTAATAACGCAGTACATAATTTTATTATTGAGATTTATTTCTAAGTCTTGGTAACGCTAATTATTAACGAGACAGGGCGAGTAGTTTCATGCTCGTTAATTCTTTGTTGGCGCCTATGGTGCAATTAACGGTAATTACTTTTAATTAACAAATTATGCCTGCCGTAACCTATTTGTTAACTTTGATTAATATATTAAATACAATTTAAAAACGCTGCATCTACCATTACAAAGGCTCCGTCCTTTCATGTCTATAGCTATCCGTTTGAGCGTATCCGAGGGACCAACACAATGATGAGGGAACACATAAAATTCAACACAAATGTTTACATTATTGTACAGAAGTCTGCCAATTGCATGTACATATTCTTTTTCTGCGAAGAACTTCCCTACGCCAGCATTGAGCGTACGCGATAATAAACACTTTAATAAACGCATGCAATAAAAAAACTCAAAATAAATTTCTCTGTTAAGTCACAGGTTCATGATATGTGTTAAGGAATTGCAAATACAAATATCGATTTGATTTTCAATTATATAAATTAAATTCAATTTATCATCAATTTATATAAATAAAATACAACTAAGATCCACTGACTGCAACAAAATTTATTTCAGTGAATTGAATTCGTTTCCTACGTAAATTTCAGCTGAGTGGGAATTCATCTGGATTTATTTAATAATGAATAATTGAATTACCCAATTTATCCTGGTTTATCTGTTATTGAAAATTTGAATTAAAACTACAACTGCGTTCGAACAAGTAAAAAAAACCTTAACTAACAAATATAGCAAAAATATTTCGGCTAAAGAACGCAGGACATAAAGAGATAACCTGCTGAGATTTCCTCATGTCTCGCAAGTGTTCGAACCTGTGGTTGCGGAAGACTTCAAGCTAAAAAATAAGCTGAATTAATACAGAAAAGAACAAACATTAGGTAATATTAAGCTAGGGCTCACTGTAACGATAAATATAGGGAGAAGTACAGTGATTAGTTACTTATGAGACAAAGTCTAGGCAGATGACGTAAAAGGAAATGACGATACGAATTCTCGGCAAACATTATCAGATAGGTTGCCCTTGATATCGGCAAATATTATCAGATTATAGGTTGCTTTTGATCTCGGCAAATATTATCAGATAGGTTGCTTTTGATCTCGGCAAATATTATCAGATAAGTTGCTTTTGATCTCGGCAAATATCATCAGATCGGTTTTCCTTTAGAAAAAACGCAAATATGTTCCGTCCTAGACGAATGGTTCGGCGTTGAGGGAAAGTCTAGGCAGTGGAGGATGCCTGGGGGTCTTGACACGAGTTTTAGATTTCCTAAGGACAATTTCTTGAGGGATGTTGAAGTTGCAGCTCGAGCTGAGGTAAGCACTGAGGGGAGTGGCGTCTTCTTCTTTTTCTTGAGAGGGCGTTCGTATCTCGAGACTGGCTGGTCTGTTGTTAAGGCGCCGTTTACCTTCAGGATGACGACGCTGAGGCACGGTACTGGTCCAAGTTTCATCAATTTTTCTTGGTTGAAAATCCCGCAAATTAGGTAATGGTTTTTCGGTTGGAAATGCAGTTAATTTAGGAGAAAATTCATGCAAGTCTGAAACGAGTTCCTCTTTATGAAGCTCCCCTTTAGGTGCACTGACTTCACATAATCTGTACAAAAGTTTGTCGGAGAGAAACTCCCGTGTTCTTGAAGGAGATTCTCGCGACTTTGATACCGACTCTTCAACGGACAAACCTCCAGGTTCACCTGAGATTGGCTCGCATGTCTCAAGAAGTTTCCTGGAACCATGAACTTTATCGGGATTTTGCGATACGTTGATTTCTTGTCTCCCCTGTTCAAAAATAAGCGTCGGAGGGCGCGGAGACGGGGAAGTTTGCGTGCAATACAATGACAATTGTTGCCCCGATCGCGCTGGATGATCTCTACTCGTCCTATTATCCCCACACACGCTCATTTTTTGCTTCTCGACTATAACAGCCTTTCGGTTATCAGGCCGGAATTTTTGCTTCAACTTTAGCCAGAAATTTTTGGATGCGCCAGGGGAACCGATGAAGGGCGCCGTGTCTCCTGCTGAAGGTGAAGAGGGCGACTGCAGGACGCACACGGGCGAGGAGGAACCTTTCTGCAGGACAGAGGCCAAGCCTCTCTCTGCAGGGCCGTCGCATCTTCCCTGGTAGACTTTATTTGATGTTTGGCCTGTAAATTTCAAATTTAAAATAAGTTATGTTCTTCTGTATTATATTGTGTCATGTGCATTTCCAATCGTGGATAATTTTACTATCTCTCTTGAATTTAATCTTGATACCCAAAGACAACTAATTTAAATATATTAAGTCACGATAAATAGCAGGTATTATCGCCATAGTTCAACGAAATATCACTAAAACTATAAAAAAATTGTTATGATCACCAAAAAAACTCCACTTAAACTTTCCTTTGTGATATATTTGACTTCGCTTTACTAAACAATATTTAGGCAACCATGAGCGGGAATGAAAGCTTCTATATTTATGTTAACTGCGTTTCATACGACCGGTCATTAGTCTGACCTGCGGCGTGCATAAGGTAGGGCTGGCCTGGCAACGATGGTGAGAGCAACGTATCGTGAGTCCTCGTACTGCTCTCGTCACGCTCGCCATACTCGCTGCCACCGCTGCTCGTGGTCCCGACGAAGGCGCTGCCGATGTCCCGACTACCCGACGAATCGTGGCGGGCGCTGGTCGAGTGAAACTGATGTCCGATATCCCGACCATCCGACGAATCGTGGCGGGCGCTGGTCGGGAGTAACTGACGTCCGATATCACGACTACCCGACGAATCGTGGCGGGTGGCGCCCGGCGAACGGTCTAGCAGGGGAGCATGGCAGTCGTGGTGGCTGGTGCTGTTGTGAGCAGGAGTTCGGTTGCGTTTGGAGTTTTTGATAGAAAAATTATTATTCGTCCTGCCAGAGCTGAGAGAATTACGAGTGTCACAGTCACTGGTGTAGGCGGGAAGCTCTAGTTCACGGCAACTAAAGTCAATGGCAGAGCCATTAGTTAATGGTTCACGGCAGCTGAAATCAGTGCTAGAGCCATTGTTCAATGGTTTACGGCAGCTGTTGCCGATGCTAGAGCCATTAGTCAATGGTTCGCTGTAGCTGGAATCAATAGCAGAGCCATTGCCGAAAACGATTTCCTTACTGGAGCGCAAAATTGAATGTCCGCCATTTTTGCTGAGGTCTTTTGACGAACTCTTGGATATTTTGGCATCACCTGCGGATTGAACAACAATGATTTATTGCGATGTTCCAAAACACTCTAGACTTAACGCATAAAATTGATACCATGAAAATCGAAGCTACCTTCAATTCTTATCCATCAGGCCACAGCCGGACACCTCAATGTGCAACGAACATTTTTCTGATACATTTTTTTCGTGCATATATTTGTTTAGATGTCACGTCGTGAGCGCTACGCCACGGTAAGTATCAGGTCAACACGTCAAATTTGGCCCAATCCAAAAAATAGTGTTCCAAATAAAAAATTTGCTCCCGCCAAGAAAAATTATCTGACATCGTGAAACTTGGTCCCTAATCATAAAATTAGGAATGTTCCAGAAAGGCGAAATTAACCTTGATTACGCAATCACAATCACCTTGGCTGCGCCATAATAATCACCTTGACTGCGCCATGATAATCACCTTGACTGCGCCATGATAATCATCTTGACTGCGCCATGATAATCACCTTGACTGCGCCATGATAATCACCTGGATTGCGCCATGTTAATCACCTTGACTGCGCCATGATAATCACCTTGATTGCGCCATGTTAATCACCTTGACTGCGCCACAGTTGCGGCAGTTGCTCCAGCCTCTCCAAGACGCACTGCGCCGATAGCCGCGCCTCAGAGTCTGCGTCCCAACACTCCTCGATTGTGTCGCGTAAAATGCGTCGTGCCAGTGACGCATGTTTACTCGACACGAATGCGTCGTCGTGCGTCTTTGTGACGTCTGATAATGTCAGGTTAACGTCATCGTTGATAGAGACGCAGCTTCCTGTTGTACGTTCCTCGAATTTTTCATGGGAAGTTTTAACGTCCCGAGTCCCCGCGGGGGACCAAAGCGTGTCGGGGAACAGCGGCCGACGTTTCTCCTTCACCACCAACTCTATCATCTGGTCCAGTTGAACGTGGGCGCCTGTAATATCGTCAGCACAAATAATATAATCAAAGTAATGATTATATTGATTAATCATAATATAATGTAATATAATTTTTTGTATTTATATTAACTTATGCAGCAACATTTGACTGACAACTGGACAAATGTCAGGGAACGAATATTGAACGCCTTGATAGTGAGGTACAGCGAAAATGTAATTTTTAGATGTATAGATAAAAGAGATAAACATACATCATTACTTTCATCCCACATTCAGCATGTAGGGCATGACTCACCCAGCTCCCGCTGGAAGGGCAGAATGTAGGGCATGACTCACCCAGCTCCCGCTGGAAGGGCAGCATGTAGAGCATGACTCACCCAGCTCCCGCTGGAAGGGCAGAATGTAGGGCATGAGTCACCCAGCTCCCGCTGGAAGGGCAGCATGTATGGCATGACTCACCCAGCTCCCGCTGGAAGGGCAGCATGTAGGGCATCACTCACCCAGCTCCCGCTGGAAGGGCAGCATGTAGGGTGGGGGCGTGGGTGAGAGGTGGGTGCAGCGGGTGACACACTCCCACAGGACGAGGGCCAGCGCGTACACGTCGATCTGCCGCAGCGCTGCCTCGCACTCCGTCAGGTTCACGGCGCCCTCCAGCAGCTCGGGCGCCATGTACCGCACGCTGCCCACCTGCGGGCGTGTGGTACGTGTCGTATGTGTGGTACTTGTGGTACATATGCTACGTGTGGCACATGTGGTGCTGAGGTCGCGGGACAATACGTGGTAACAGTGGTGATTACGACGCTAGGTACACGCGCTCAATTTAAGAATACAAATATTTACATATTATTTATGAAATATTAGTCTTAATAACGAATATTAAAATCTTGAATATATATATCTTAACTTTAATAATAATTGTTAGAGCAAGGTACCTCATTGAGGGCGGGGGGCGTGCCGTGCGTATAAGGTCGCCCGGGGCGCGAGTGCGAGGCGCCCTTGACGCACACAGCGAGGCCGAGGTCTATGACCACGCACGACAGGTCCTCCCGCAGCGCCAAGTTACGGGTGTTGAAGTCACGGTGCGCCATGGAGGGCTTGTGCTGACCTGCGGGGGGAAGAGGAGGTGTGGTGGGGTGGGGTATGGTGGTTGGGGTGTGGCGGGTGGTGGGGTGTGGTGGGGTGACTGGGGTGTGGTGGTGACTGGCGTGTGGAGGGAGGGTATCAGGGGTGAGGTAGGGTGAAGGGGCTGGTGAGACAGCGCACCAGCTTGGCCTGGGACTGAAATATGTAACAAGTATACTGAGTATGGTGGGGTGGTGGGGTGTGGTGGGGTGATGGGTGGTCAGTAGCAGGATGGGATGGGTGTGATGGAGGACATGGATATAAATGTGTGGTGGACGACGGGGAATGATCGGGGAGGTCACTGAAAGAGGAGGTCTTTTACGGGGATGCGGTAGGGCGGCGAAGAGTCAGATGGAGTGTGGTGGGGGTGACGTCAATTTGGCGTCTTAATATAATCATAATAACTATATTATATGATTAGATCATATGTAATTGGGACGTAATATTCAATTGACCTGTCGTACATTGATGTAGAAGTTCTGGACATAAGTCAGCATCCGGAAGACATCACGTGATAGATCACGCGATCAAGACCTTAGTTGCGGGCGGAAGCGAAGCCTATATAAGGGCTGATAACCTTAGTATGAGCCCCCCAGTAGTTGATAAGCGCTCCGCGATGTAACGCGTCGGTTGATTTCTCCGACCTTACGGTCGCCGCTGTAGCTTATACCTCTGTATCGTAACTCATGTAGTATAATCTCCTGTATATCAAGATATGTATTCTAGACAGATGTGTTTTACTTATCCTTCACGACCAAAATCACGTAACCCAATCCTGAGGTAGAGCTAAATCAATGAGCTCTGACACTGATGTGATGTGGTGGGTGATGACCTGATGTGATGTGGTGGGGGATGACCTGACGTGATGTGGTGGGGGATGACCTGACGTGATGTGGTGGGTGATGACCTGATGTGATGTGGTGGGTGATGACCTGATGTGATGTGGTGGGTGATGACCTGATGTGATGTGGTGGGTGATGACCTGATGTGATGTGGTGGGGGATGACCTGACGTGATGTGGTGGGGGATGACCTGACGTGATGTGGTGGGTGATGACCTGATGTGATGTGGTGGGTGATGACCTGATGTGATGTGGTGGGTGATGACCTGACGTGATGTGGTGGGTGATGACCTGATGTGATGTGATGGGTGATGACACAAAGTTATCACCCACCAGCAGCAGTGATGGGTGCGTGCAGGTGAGCCAGGCCGCGGGTGGCGGTGATCACAACACGGCACAGCTGGGGGAAGGTGAGGGTGTGGTGGGTGAGGTGGGTGCTGAGGCGGCCACCGCTGCAGTACGGCAGCACCAGACCGTACCCGTCCGACCCCAGGCGACCGTAACCTGTAATGTTGTGTAACATAACCGTAATACTTTGGTGTTACAGTATAACACAGAGATAATCTTATACATAACACTGTAACATAACTGTAACACTATTGTGTTACAGTGTAACACAGAGATAATGTTACACATAACACTGTACTGTAACATAAACGTAACACTTTGGTGTTACAGTTATGTTACTGTAACAGTGACTACAGTAACATAACTGTACAGTACAGTTACATAACTGTAACTGTACTGTACAGTTATGTTACTGTAGTCACTGTTACAGTTATGTTACTGTAAATGTAACACTTTGGTGTTACAGTGTAACACAGAGATAATGTTACACATATCACTGAAACATAACTGTAACACTATGGTGTTATAGTGTAACAAAGAGATAATCTTACACATATCACTGTAACAAATAATACATTGTACATCAGTTGACCATCAGGTTCAATGCCGCAACACATATTTTGTATTATAAATATTCAACTGTTAAAGTACCTCCTGAATTCAGCATTCCATCGGACAAAATACTATAACATTTAATTTTAATTAAAAGTTATAGTTTTCTTAGTTCATATATTATTATTATTTCAGCGAATTTTGGTAGGAGAGGAAGATTTAGCCAGAACAAGAAAATTTTCAGAAATTTTTCGTACTTGAAAACAGGAATGAAAATTACCTTTAAAGCAATTGTTTTAATATGTAATAAATGGTCTTTAAAAGAATGTTTCGAAGCTTGAAAGGTTCTGGCAAGGTTAGAAGGAATATTCGCAGGAGGTTCTCACGAGGTTCTCACGAGGTTCTCACGAGATTCTCATGCACTAACTTCTCACGAGGTTCTCACGAAGTTCTCACTAACTTCTCACTAACTTCTCACGAGGTTCTCACGAGGATTTCACGAACTTCTCACGAGGTTCTCACGCGGTTCTCACGCGGTTATCACGAGGTTCTCACAAAGAGCCCTCATATAGAACTGACCGAGGCAGGTGAGGAGGTTGGAGTGCTGCATGAAGGGGTGGCTGTAGATGAAGAGCTCGTTGGTGTAGCTCTCCTTCTGCCCTTCACTGAACACCTTCACGACCACCTCCTCCTTCAGCCCCTTCACACTAGCCTTGTACACGCATCCGAAGCGTCCTCTGCCTGCACTCACAGAAATTAATGAGACTTTGTCCAAACCCTAGCCTTGTACACGCACCCGAAGCGTCCTCTGCCTGCACTTACAGAAATCAATGAGACTTTGTCCAAATACTCGTGCACTTTTGTAAGTATGTGTGTCATCCTGACCTAGTTCGGTCAGGAAAAAAGACGCGGCAAGTGTGTCACAATTTAAACAATATGACTCTTTTATTTTTCCAGTGTGCAAACCATCATAAACGTTAGGTAAGTTATTAATTATTTATTCATGACATTCTACGAAAAACTTAATTTTTGCACAAGACAAAAAAACGCTACGCAAATTATTTATTTATGACATTCTACGAGAAAAGGTAATTTTTGACAAAAAACGTATAGACTATAGACCATAAAACAGGGCTGCAGGATTGGAGCAGTAAGTTGAGGCTTTGAAACCCAAATAATCTGTGACAATTCTGATCGCAATCAACAAGATGGGCGGGTGGTTAAGAATCGGTAACCGGATAACAAGGCCTAATCAAAGCAGACTATATTTATATAGCTTTAATTATATTTAAATTACATTTATATAGCTAACAACTATGTGTATAGTTGATATTACTATATTAATAAACGTGTGTCAGGCTGACCTATAACGTCGGTGAGCTGCACAGAGCTGATGTCGACGCTGCCCCAGCCTGGGGCCCCGCCCCCCACCGGGCGCCCCGCTTTGCATGCCTGAGCGCACATGACAGTCATTCAATCATTTAACAGTCATTTAATTCATTAGCAGTCATTAAGTTAATTAACAATCATTTATTTAATTAATTCACTCATGGAAATGAGCGAAAGAATTCGTCCAAATAGAGATGCATTTTTCTATCTAATCATCATAAAATGTGTTAAAATGATAACAAATATCTTGGAGTCGCTGATGAAGATAATTCAATTATGAAGAATTTAGCCATATAAGATTATTTGCGTCACGCTGCGTGACAATGCGTCACGCTGCGTGACAATGCGTCACGATGCGTCACAATGCGTCACTATTTGCCATAATGCGTCACAACGCGTCACAATGCGTCACAATGCGTCACAATGCGTCACAATGCGACACAATGCGTCACAATGCGTCACACTGCGTCACAATGCGTCACAATTCGTCACAATGCGTCACAACGCATCACAATGCGTCATAATGCGTCACACTGCGTCACCGTGAGGTCGCCGAGGTCCTGTAGGCTCATCTTGCGCTGGCGACGGCGGCGCCACAGCAGCGCGGCGACGACGCTCGCGACGGCGACCACGACGGCGGCCACGACGGCGACGACGAGCAGCTGGGGCGCCTGCAGCTCCCGGGACGTCGCCACGTCCTCACGTGACGTGCCTGTGTGCCACACGAGAGGAGAACTCGACTTGAATTGTGTTGTTTCAGGGTCAGGTATTTGACTTTGAAAAGACGTTAAAATGACTTTGAATGACGTTGAATGACGTTGAATGACGTTGAAATGACGTTGAATGATGTTGAAATAACGTTGAACTGACGTTGAAACGACGTTGAAATGGCGTTGAAATGACGATGATTAAACGTTGCGTCAGCGACATTAACTAGACATTAACGTTATTTCAACGTCACTGGCCTGAAGTGATAGTTCGTAAGATTCAGGAAGTACCTATATTTCAATTTAATCTATGAACCTCAAATGTAGCGGAGGTACAAGACCACCACGATTGGTCCATGGCTGTGTGGCGTAAATGATGGTATAATTTACAATATTAGAAGTTACTACTACAGAAATTAGTTGATATACATACATGAAATAAATGAATAAAATATGAGCTTCAATAGTTTTCTACAATATGTACCTATAAAACCTTGATGATAATTCATTTATCAAATCAAATTTAAATTCACGTTATCTAGCAATTCGAGAAGCATGGCTAGGTATTCCTAGACTCACTCATATCCCGCATAAGGATTCATATCAGATATTAGATAGATATTATACAGTGCAGAATCATATTAAGATTAGTTAGATAGTAATCTAATTAAGGGCAAGAACATAAACCTCACCAGCCTCCTGTGGCTGCTGTAGGAGGGGCGGTACAACCACGTTCCCGTTGCAGAGGTCGCCGCGGCAGCAGCAGAAGAAAGAGTTACGAGGGCTCTCTCTTGTGGCAGAGCACTCGCTCTGCTCGCACGCCTCCGACGAGCTGAAGCAGCCTGCAATACCGGGGCATTAGGGCATATAGCAGCCTGTAATGCCGGGGCATTTAGTGCATATAACAGGCTGCAATGCCGGGGCAATTAGTGCATATAGCAGCCTGCAATGCCGGGGGATTTAGTGCATATAGCAGCCTGTAATGCCGGGGCATTTAGGGCATATAGCAGCCTGCAATGCCGGGGCATTTAGTGCATATAACAGGCTCGCACGCCTCCGACGAGCTGAAGCAGCCTGCAATACCGGGGCATTAGTGGCATTTAGTGCATAGAGCAGCCTGCAATGCCATGGCATTTAGTGCATATAGCAGCCTGCAATGTCGTGGCCTTTAGTGTGTGAAGCAGCCTGCAATGCCGTGGCCTTTAGTGTGTGAAGCAGACTATATTGCCGTAGCCATTAGTGTCAGGGTGAAGGAGAAGCCGGCTGCAATGCCATGGTTTATAGAGTACAAGTTCTCAAGAAGTAGACAGTAACATGCCTTGAATTGAAGCTGAATTTTACGGAATCACTAAGGCATTGTAGAGAAGTAATTGGCCAACTACGCGCTGAGGCGTTTGTCTATTGAACCAGAAATCGTGACCATGTAAGATCATGAATAGTAAAACCTTAATTCAGAGCGCATCAGAGATGCAGACACACGAGGCGTTGAAGCCTGCAAGTCATTTATTGCTAAGGCTAGCGTTATGCGCAAGTAAACATGTAACTTCAGACAGCTCAGTGTTTGATCTCGCGTCGGATCAAGAAATGTGCCCCGGGAATACACTGAGGTCTCTATGCTCGCAGGCTACGATCGTGATTCTCGGCCCTGCGCGAGCTGTCCGGCTCTCGACATATCCGCGCATACTAATTCGCGGTCTAGTTTATAACATTAATGTAGGGTTTTGCGGATTGGTGGTGCAAGAGAAAATTGATGTGCGTTTCACAAAGAGGGAATTTGGATGATGAGTGGTAGGGATCAAGCGAGCAACACATATAAATAAATTCCTTGGTAAGAACAACCAACTATTCTGATGAAAACATCTATACCCTGATCTTTATTCATGTCTATCGGTGATTACCGTACAGTGAGCAACCAGCGTTCCGCGTCTGTGTAACGAGAACTATATGAGCAATTGAGCGCTGATCGTTCGCTTAATCAATATTTAGTAATTAATAAAAAATAAAAAATTTATGTATACCCGTACTATTCTATTCCAAAAGCATCGATACAAAGCTAAACATTTCGAGTTTTCTTTTGCAACAATCGCAATTATTCAAATGAGAGCGACTGAGATCAAAGATCCATAACAAAGAGAGATTGAGATTGATAAAATTAAGTCAAAAGTTGCAGTCGAAAAATCAGTTATATAATAATAATATAGCGGTGTCAGCGTTTATTAGGCCGTAGGCTTGTCACCGATTCTTAACATCACAGAACATTCACAGCTTGTTGCGGTCTCGAACTCGCAATTCACTGCTACAATATTCTGCTGCGCTTAACCGCCCGCCCTCCCGCCGATTCTGACCAGAAACTGGCGCACAGAGCTGGGATCGAACCCGCGCTTCTTCGCTCTGGTGGTGAACTCCAAACTTATTCAAATAAGTGAAACATGAACTTTGAGCGCATACAATGAATCAGATCTCATCAGTGAGACATGCACACGATATCGCTTGCAGAGCAATGCTCGGTAGCTTCCCTCTCCCTCGAAACCTACTCAGTAAAAGTACTTCAACACTACTTATTTCATTAGTCTGTTATAAATTACTTAATCACTTCTTCTACTTATTTCTTTAGTCTGTTAAAGTACTTAATAACTACTTATTTCTTTGGTCCGTTAGAGTACTCATTCACTACTTATATCTTCAGTCTGTTAAAGTATTTAATTACTACTTTTATCTTTAGTCTGTTTGAAATTTTTTTGCCAAGTTCACCCAGAATTTAAACGTAAAGAAACTACCATTAAATCCATATTAACTTCATCGATGACAACGTATTAAATTTACTAGGCATTTTATTTGTTTTTTTTTCCTAAATAATATAATTTATGACTAAATAGACATAATTTATGACTCTTTATGAAGAAATTTATTAATAAAAAATATCAATAAATTGATGAGGCCGGTAATAAATGCAGTGCTTAACTTAAAACAGATGTAAACCAAACGGATAATAGAGCGCGTGATACCCTGAACTAAATAGAAGATCAGGCTTATACCACAAAATTTGGCGGCAAATGCAAAAAATATGTCACTAGATGCACGTAATGTAGCACTAGATGCACGTCATGTGTATCTAGCATAACTAGATGCACGTAATGTTTAACTAGCATGACCACTATACATGCATGTAATGTGTAACTAGCAAGACTAGATAAACATTACATGTATAAATAGCATGCCTAAATAAACATTACATGTATAAATAGCATGACTAGATAAACGTTACATATTTAAATAGCATGACTAGATAAACGTTACATGTTTAAATAGCATGACTAAATGCTCGTAATGCAGTATAACTAGCATGACTTCTATACAGGCAAACAATGTGTGTCTATATTATGTGCATTTATGCACTCTATAGAGTGCCCAAATGCACATATGATAATAATAATGTAACTAGTATGACTAGATACACATCATGTGTATTTAGAATGACTAGATACACATAATGTGTATCTAGAATGACTAGATACACATAACGTGTATCTAGAATGACTAGATGCTAGCACAGCCCTCGTTGCTGTACACTAGATGCACCACAACTTAAAGCCCTACCTTGAGCCAGCCACTTGACGTGGCGCCGGGAGTTGTTGTTGTCGTTGCCGTCATCGTTGTTATCGTTGCCGTCATTGCCGTCATCGTCATCGTCGTTATCGTTATCGTAGGTCCAGAAGCTGAAGCAGTAGTCGGACGACGATGCACACATGACACGGTCGCCCCCCGGCAGGATATGGTCGCCCTCCTCCTTCAGGATGACGGACGCGCGGGACCTGTGACATACGGGACGGCCGAGACCGCGTCCTGCTTCTGACGATACCGGCACCGAGGGCGCCACCGCTGCACAAAAGACGTCTCACAGTCAACTTTTATTTCCGTGAAAAAAAATTTTTGCTTTTTTGTTAAGTTATGTCGCACAGTGAACTTTTTTTTAGTTTTTTTTATTATTTCCTTTGAAAAGCTTTTTTTGTTTTTTTGTTAAGTTATATAATATTATTCTGTTATTTCTTATATGGGAAATCTTATCCCGTGCTGATTTTTTATTTCTTAGACTGCAGACATTGGAAATTTCTTTTCTTTTTACTTTTATTGTCCAATAACTCGATTGTCAGTGTATAAAATCCACATCGTTTTACTGAAGTTCCCAATTTATAAATCAGCATTCTGCCAAAGTAGAAGCTTTCATTTCCCAGACTCATTTCTGTATTTATTTTGTTCAGATGTCAGAACAATTTTCCTAAGCCAATTTATTATAACTGCAAGTTGCCCAGTGAAAAGTTGTGATTTCTAGTATTGATTTCAGTCAGCATCCTGCCAACAAAAAACGTACAATTTACTGAGAAAATTTCAGCCAACATTGAACGAAGATGAAAGCTATAACTGCCTATATAAATCAATATTAGTCTACATTAGTCGCTGCGAGGAAAAATAATTTCATTTTGTATGCTGCTCTCAAGAAAGCGAACAGAACTCATAATCATTGCATTGGAATATCAAGCGTTTGAATGTTGATCTGACCGCAAGTATACAGTGATAAATTGAACGTCAATAAACACACGCACCTTCAACATTCACAGAGCAAAGAGTGTGGCAATCATGCAGCGATGAATGATTGAAGTGATGTATGCCTGCATCGTCTTCTCGCTCTCAAGCATCACTTGAACACAAGAGCGAGCAGACTGAGCAAGCGTTTGTTTCCATAGGGTGAGATCACGTCTTAGGCATCACACACTTCACCATACACGGTGCCCGCATTCTCCACACGTCACATCACACAGTCTAATCATACAAATCACGTGATGCATGCATGGAGAATTGAGGCACAACGAAATATATTTCTTATTCAGAAGACCGCCTGATGGATGCTTCAGACGAGGAGTTCTAAACATAGAAGCGCTATTACCAGCTAGCAGGCGCCTACCCAATGATAAAAATCTTGAAAGCAAGTGAGTAAAATAAGATCTTTGTAGACGGGTACAACTGAGACATCTTGAATTTATGTGTGCGGAAGACTGCATATTAACAGCAATTGTCTACGGAGAGGCAAGAAGAGTATGCGTGCTATATATGCTGTTCCTAGCAAATTTATATGCAGATGCGTTCTCGATGCAATGACAGCAAAAAATGCTGTCATTGCATTTTTCAGTGCCTGCTTTAGCAAGGTTCGACAGAAAAGCTATTGAAGTTATGCGTGAGAAAGAGTTTCTCCTAACACATTCAAGCATAAAAAATTTCGAAGTTCGCGCTCGAAATATGTTATTCTTAGCCAGTACGAGAGAAGCCCTTGAAGCATATAAGTAGCCTTCTCATCGTGTAAACAATGACGTCTTTCCTTCGTAGCAGGAACTCCGTGAAGCGGGCATGCAAAAACAGACACGTCGAGAGCGGAGGGCAAGTAAACGCTACCACGTGCACTCAAGGGGCTGGGTCCTGAGATACGAGCTCGTCCTGAGATAAGATCGCGTAAACGAGAACACGTGCGCTATATAAAGTCTCTGGTCCTAAGAACGATCAGTCCTAAAGGCTCTGGTCCTAAGAACGATCAGTCTTGAAGGCTCTTGTCCTATGAACGATCAGTCCTAAAGGTTCTGGTCCTAAGAACGATATCAGTCTTGAAGGCTCTGGTCCTAAGAACGATCAGTCCTATAAGCTCTGGTCCTAAGAACGATATCAGTTCTAAAGGTTCTGGTCCTAGGAACGATCAGTCCTAAAGGCTCTGGTCCTAAGAACGATCAGTTCTAAAGGCTCTGGTCCTAAGAACGATCAGTCCTAAAGACTATGGTCCTAAGAACGATCAGTCCTAAATGCTCTGGTAACAAGAACGATCAATCCTAAAGGCTCTGGTCTTAAGAACGATCAGTCCAAAATGCTCAGGTAACAAGAACGATCAATCCTAAAGGCTCTGGTCCTAAGAACGATCAGTCCTAAAGGCTCTGGTAACAAGAACGATCAGTCCTAAAGGCTCTGGTCCTAAAGAACTATCAGTTCTAAAGGCTCTGGTCCTATAAGAACGATCAGTCCTAAAGGTTTTGGTCCTAAGAACGATCAGTCTTAACGGCTCTGATCCTAAAAACGATCAGTCTTAAAGGCTCTGGTCCTAAGAACGATCAGTCCTAAAGGCTATGGTCATAAGAACGATCAGTCCTAAAGGCGATCTGGTCCTAAGAACGATCAGTCCCAGAGGTTCTGGTCCTAAGAACGATCAGTCTTAAAGGCTCTGGTCATAAGAACGATCAGTCCTAAAGGCTCTGCAGGGGCCGTATTATCAAACCTTCGTAAGTACGCAAAATCGACTTACGAGTGGCGTTGCTGTGACAACGTAATACTACCGGTGGTATTATAGAAACATTTGCGCGGGAAAAATTTGCGCGGGAAAAAAATTAGGCTTTTAGCTAAGACTTGCGTACGAAAGTTGTGATAATGCCAAAATTAGGGTGTATTTACGTACCACAGAACTTTTTTGTCGTAAGTACAAAAAGTTACGAAGTTTTGATAATCCGGCCCCACTGGTCGCTCGTCGTGAGATAAGATAGCATAAACGCTACCACGTGCGCTATATGAAGGCTCTGATACTAAGACATGAGCACGTCGAGAGGGCATATCTCGTACATACGAGCATCTTTGTTGAGCACGACGGCCAGATGACAGCCTCACCGCCTATAAAAAAATTCAATTTCATATCCGGAATAAATTTCCTCAGTGAATTCTTCGATGAATCTAAAATTTTCGTAAAATTCAGAATATTCTTTTTTGAGGTCATCATCATTTACACTTTATTTTTACTATTGAAAGTAAAATAAAGGATGATAAGTTAATCATTTATGGTTGGTTTTTTGCATATGAACCCCTAGTGAAAAATTTAATATTATGTAGACATAAGATATATTGCATTTACCGCTTAAAAAAATATATGCCGCTAACGTACATCCATAATTCCAAAAAATTTTGCTTTTTTTAATAGAGCTAATTGGAATCGGTCTCCCTCAATTATTTGAGAGCATGCAGTTAGATCGGCAGAGATATCATTTAAATGATCGCGCAGCATGGCGAATGCCATAGAATCGTCAGGAGTCAAAAAGGACAAAACAGATGAACCATCAACATTATTCGAATTATATCATTATTATCATAAACAGGACGAGTTGATAGTGCATGGCATTCATATGATGTGTTCCCCTAGACAAAGCTGTTCTACGCATCACATTTATGTCTCGAAGCATCAACCCGTTCATTCCATTATATTGAATTATACTACAAATTATTGCTGTATCAGTGGTATAAATATTAATATTTCAGCTCGGAGCGGCGGATGATTTAGAATAGATATTTATATACGAAGTATAAACGACCAAATCAGCCTCTGTGTGCTGTGCATTTCAACGACGGAGAGCGCGTAGACTTATACGTCGACTCGTACGGTAAAGTTTGTGAATAGAGGAGTTAAGATTTGCATTATATTATATAACAAACAGACTCGTGCAGCAGGTCACGTTTTATCGTTTGAGTTCTGTCATCAAGCGGTATTTCCTTCATAACCCGAGATTTTGGGTAGGAGGCGTTGGCATTCGAAATATAAATTGAAACTTGCAATCTTCGTGAGTATAATAAGCAAACTCCAGTCGCCTGAAGCTGGCGCTCTCATTACTTCTTATTTTTATCATAATGATCTATTTTACTCTTCAATTTACATACATATTAGGCTGCATGGAATCTTGGAGCAACATTACGCTGCATGGAATCTTGGAGCAATATTACGCTGCACGGAATCTTGGAGCAATATTACGCTGCACGGAACCTTGGAGCAATATTACGCTGCATGGAATCTTGGAGCAATATTACGCTGCACGGAATCTTGGAGCAATATTACGCTGCACGGAATCTTGGAGCAATATTACGCTGCACGGAATCTTGGAGCAATATTACGCTGCACGGAATCTTGGAGCAATATTACGCTGCAGGGAATCTTGGAGCTATATTACGCTGCACGGAATCTTGGAGCAATATTACGCTGCACGGAATCTTGGAGCAATATTACGCTGCAGGAAATCTTGTGGTAATATTACGGATCTTGGAATCATGTAGATTTATTACGAAGCACGGACGCATTTCCGGACCAAAGTCGAAAAATTTCACAGTCGAGGCTGGTGTTACATTTCAATATTTCTTTCTGCAACGATAATTAGGAACTTATGCTGAGTAATATAGCATGCAACTTCAATTTTTTCGTCGAAATGAAATGATCCTAATAAATTTACATACACACGCGAAACTTTGGATGGAGCTCGCCTACAATAAATAAACAAAATAACGATACCAGTCGCCATGAAATGCATAGTTTAAAACTCGGATTGAGTGATGGTTATTCTATGGAAAAAAATGTTGTGCGAGTCGAACATTACGGTTATTAAGCAACATATATGATATACAATGCAAAATTCACAGTAAGCGGCAAGGGCGATAATGTTTTTATTTATATATCTGTTATGTATAACTAAGGTTACACGGATTAATAACAAATGCTGCTAATGATCGCACACACACAAGGTATGGCGCCATGCTTGTCTCACCTGGCATTGGAACAGACAGGATCAGTGGCAAAAGAAGACACGAGATCATGGCAGCGGCAGACGGGCGCCACAACACCTTTACTTTGTGTTCAACGCCCGCTGATCTATGTTGGGCAACCATGGTATATTCTAGATACTACCAAGCCGTGAAATGATTATTTCATGTATACTTTTTGTTAACGCAGCTATAAAGCAAGATGTAACATCATTATTGTTCAATTGAAGGAAATTCTTGTGGCACAGAGCGCACACTGCTCACATGTTGAGGGCAGCCTTGCTACTGCGATGTTTGCCATCAATACGATACTTGCGCACCTCGGAAACTGCGTCAAGGCTTCCGACACAACTTATATCGAAATAAAGTATTCCTCTCAACAATTTAAGGGGCACTATGTTAAGAAATGAATTGAACGTTAAGAATTATAATTATGAGAGGATCTCGATTTTTACTATCTTCGCTCCTTGTTTTTTTTTATAGTGCTTACACGGACCAGAAGTTGAAATAAAATTGCTGTAATATACATTAATATATCAGTGAAATAATCAAAACAAATTTTAGTCCTCCTATATCGTTAGATTTGAAAAACAATTCCGTGTGTTTGAAGTTAGTCAACCTGGCGCATAGGTACGTTAATTCATGTTTGCGTTTATCGCCAGCTGATTGCGTACCTATTTGGTTATTGAAGCTGATAGTGGGGCAGCCTTCATGCGGGGCTTCAACTTAAGAGAAACAATTTCTATTAGCAGTTTGTTCTTCATAATGCTACGCAACGGACGTAAGCTATTCTTATGCACTGAATGAATATTTCGTTTCCAAGAAGAAATCAAGAAAGATTCAACTTCATTCAAGTTTCAACCTACTAAAGAAATCATTGTTATGAATGAATGGACTTGGAACTTAGGAAGGTGCCTCAAGCTGCCCGTTTAATTTTTATCTTCTAATCTTCAAATTGTGTCTGTCTCATATTTGAAAGAAATGGCATACTCAAGGGATTCTATTGGACCATCCAAAAAGTCAACTCTCCCTGATAATGCTATGTTGGAAGCACAGCAAAGAGCAAAATTAAAAATGAAGTAAGTTACATAGCTAGCCTAACATGACTTTTTCTACTAGAATTTTAATTTAATTTTAACATCACAATTTCATAATTAAAGCCTAGTAGGCCTAGCTATCATATTTTAAAAGTTGTATTTTTGTGTATTAAAAGTTCTAAATCTATAAAAATCAAAATCATTTAAGATCATTAAATGTACTGTAGTTATTAGTTTTAGTACTTAAGTGTAAATCTGTGTAATATAAAATGTGGCTGTTGTGCCACTGCCAAAGTGCCAGTGCCAGCCTGTTGCCGTTGGCACTTGCTGCCAGGGAATCTGGTTCAGATTCTCCAACTTTGATAGCTACTTTGAAGTTTGAACTCAATCCAAAGCAAACTTTGTAGCCATGAGATTTCATTTGTAGTAAGTAGGAAAATTACAATCTAATGCTAACAGCAGCTACCTACCTAGAGGAGCCTAGATGAATTAGGTACCTCCATGCTCCATCTAATTTTCAAAAAAATTGCACAATCAGGCTAGCAATAAATTGGCTAACTACTAGCAATACATATTATTTTATTATTGTCATTTGTCAACTTGTTTATTCATAAATACTGCTTATTACCATACCATAGTAAAAATTATTCATCTATAAAAATTTCTTGATAAAAACACTCATCACTCATGATTCATGATTCATCACTGTGTATCATTTCCAATAGTATACAAATTTACAAATAGGTAGTACCAATTTTTCTGGAGTAAATAACTTGGAATAAGGATGCATGTAGTTCCTTGGCTATTGGGCCATCAATTTTTTTTTTCAAATAGCCTAAGACAAATAATGCTTTGGTAAATAGGCCTATTTAAATATTTATAGATGAGAAAAGGATTATCTCTCAAGCCTGTAAGATTGCAATGAAGAACTTCAAATTAGTAATGTCAATTCTATTTTAATGTGTTTTCATTGCCTCGCTTGTAACATTGTTGCCACGTGTCTCCCGCGGGTGAGGCAAACACGTTGCCTACTTCTACTTGATAGGTTGGCAACAACCTACTTAGGGAATGGATAATGATGAGACTAAAATTTATCTTTTATTACTGCCAAATGAAATGGAATTTAGATTACAGTTCAATTAAATGGCTCTTGGTTACAAAATGAATAACTGTGGTATGTAACTGAGTGAAGAATGGCCTAGTATAAGAGCATGGAACAAGGAGTGTAGGAGCATGGACCAACGTACATAGGAGCATGGACAAGATGCATATGTGATCTGCCATAAAAAGAAAGTAAAACTTATTAATTTTATGCATCATAGCCCTAAGACTATAAGATAAATATTTTACTTCCTTGTCTGGACTAGAGAAAGAGAAAAAAAGGAAAAGTACATAATAAGTTACATAATGAGAAAACACAGCACAGACATCAAATAAACGAGGATGATAGCCAAAGGGTTGGGCTAAAAAGCAATATAGCACCCCCTGCAACAACATTTTTAGCACATTTTCTCATTTATGAAAAAAAGGCACTATTTTGCTTGTAATGTCCGTCCGCCCGTCTCTGTGACTTCATGTTTTTGCCTATTTTGAGAAAATGCGCTCTCTGTCACTCACTGCAGTGAGTGCTGAGTTATATATATATTTTTTTGTTTCTTGTCTTCATCAATCAAACTTCTTTAGCATCAAGAATAGGTACCCCTTTTCTACTAATCTACTTTTTCCATATTTTTCAACAGAGATTGTTTACCAGCCATAGTGGAGAAGCTGTCAAAAAATGAGAGATGTTCTCTGGTCTTCCTTGCGCTCAACCAACAAAATCTTGTCAACTCTGGCTACTCTATATGCCAGTACAGCAATGCTGGCAAAGTAATTATATCTTCTTCATATTTTACATTCCTGTAAAAAAGTTTGTGACAATAGATCAAAACTATTAGGTACAGTAATAATTTTCTACCTTATACTCCGACCCTTGAGGCAAACAAAGACATTACCCTCTTGTTATTTCCCTCAGATTAGTTATAGTATAATGAGGAAATGAATTTCATTGACAAAGTAAGTAGCTGCATTTATTCTTTGTAAAATCATTACCACATTTTGAATAAAAGGAAAATTGAATTTTACCAGGTATTGTATAAACGTACCGATATATTAAATTAAATGTGTCTGCCATTCACAGGACATCAGTGACTATGTGTGGCAAGGCTGCAATGGAAATGTGGATGTGCTATTGTCTACTCTCTTCCACATCTGCAGATATGATCTGCTGGAGAATCCTCTTGGTCTCTGTTCAGCTCACTCCTTGGAACAAGTGATTATTAATAACTCCTCTTTGGGGTCATCAACTGAATAAAGATGTCATCGCAAGATGCACACAATAGCTTTGATTGCTTAAAAAAATATGAGAGTTTTGATATTTTCTGCAAAAATTTTGGTTATTGTCAATTTCACCTTTTGTTGTGAATGGATTACGTAGTATTAATTTAATTTTTTGCAAGAATAATTCTTGCTGTACGGTATATGTATTCTGAGCATTATTCATCTAATTTAGTCATCTGCTCCTCATAAGTTTTTTTTTACACCAACCAGTATGTCAATCTTTGTCATGAAAATATTTGACTGTGAAGAAATTTGAATAAGAAGAGAAGATTTTAAAGAAGAAATTTTTGGTAAGAAGAAATTTAAAATCACTTAGAACCAGACAATATATTATTTTCTTATAATTATCCATGAAGCTGCCTACACTTGTATTGCTCAATTGTAGCTCAGATGAGCCCTTACTGCACATACCTACATCTATAGGTACCTATACCTGGTAGTACTTCATAAAAGCTTGCTTATGTCTTAAATGAAGTCAGCAATGGCCTAGGAAATATTGGTATCAAGTTCTATAGTACTGGTAATTATTCACAATGAAATGTTCCTGCAGTTTTGATTGTAAATTTTTACCAACATAAGGATTGATTAAATTTATGGTTTCCAGGTGTGTCTGAGTGCTGGGGGTGTGGAGGCAGAAAGGCTGGCGCTCTACAAGGTGTTTGCTGCTCTTCCCCAAACGGCTGCTGATGACATCATTGCCAACCAGTGAGATGCTTGCTTCAATTTTTATTTTGTTTATGTCATGTTTGTCATGTTTATACAGAAAAACTGTCAGAATTCGTTTTTTTGTGTGTTTGTGCATGTCTCTGAACTTTTTTCTCAGTGAATTGCTAGAAAAGTGTTGAATTTTATAAGAATTAGATATTTAACTAATGTTGTTTTGTCAACAAAAACTTGAATGATTTTTTGCTCAAATTTGATTTCTTTAGCTCTATTTCCATTTTCATCTTGGTTATTAAATCAAAATTCTCAACCTCTCTGGGGAAAAATTATATTACACATATAATATTTAATTCAACATTAAGATATTAATATTCAGTCTGACTTTGGTATAGTTAAGGATATCCCAGTGTTAAGTGCATATCTGTGTGATTGAATTATAATAAATTATTAGAACTTCTACATTTTGATGACTAGAAACTTGAGAAATATTTCACTTTTTACAATTGTGCCAAATTAATAAAGAAATAAAAGCTTAACCTATTTTTGCTTACATCAAAATTTGCTGATCCAAATATAACTTACTTGTAATCTTATATGCTAATTTCATGACCAACTTCATCTCAAGTTTGTTTTTCATTAAGTTGTTTTAATTTTCTATCTTGTACCAATTCATGAATCTTGTCCAGAAATAATTCTTGCTATCAATGTTTAGAGAAATATTTTTTGTAGACTAGTGCATGTTTCAATACATAGGTACTGTGATGACTGCCAAATCTACCACATAAAATAATAATCTGATAAACTGGTCTCAGAAGTTATCAATTCATCAATTATAAACTATTAAACGTAAGAAGTCACCAATTATAACTATTAAACTTATCTTCAATCTCATTGAATTAAAAGCTGTGCTACGTGATCCCATTCCTGATAATTTATTTTTTCATTAATTGCCCTCCTGCTACTTGCTAGTACCTATTTAATTTCCTGCATGAATTTGTGTACTTTTATTGTGATTGTGGAATTATTCTTTTGTATTTATCTAGTATGCACTCTAATGCTTAATATTTATGTCTGCCTTTGTATCGTGTGATTTTAAATGTTCAGTAAATTTTTTAGAGTGCATTCCCTTCAGTAATCTATCGTTTATTTATGTTTTATTGCTGCTGTGTTTGCTTCTTGATTTAATTTGAGAC